AAATCGTTCAAATCGTGCTGCTCCAATCGCGCTTGAGGCGCCGCAGAACTTCCCGACGTTGCTTGAAGCGCATCCACCATAGACTTTGTATGTAAACCTGCTGCTCCTGACGCTGAAATCGCGTTCGGTGTGAACGCACCATTAGAGTTCCTGATCTCATGTAGGAATTTTCTATTGAGTAATGTCTGTTTTCAACTTTGTCTCATGCTTGCAGAGCATTTCCATAATTTTCAGAATCCTTAAATATTTTAACGTTATCATAGCAAAACATTAGCTAAAAGAAGAAGCTAAAGACTCAAAGAAACAAAACAATAAAAAAATCTAACAGTAGCAAAGAGTAGCTAAAAACAACAAAACAGTAGCTGAAAACTAGTAGAAAAACATTAGCTAAAAGCATAGAAATGCTAGCTAAATAATAAAAAAATCAAAAGGTTAGCTTATAAATAATGTTAGCAAAAGGTTACCTGAAGACTGAAAGAAGCTAAATACAACCTAAAAGCTAAAAGTAGCAAATAGTAGCTAAAAGCTAAATCTAACTATACAGAATCTAAACACTAAAAGTCGCAAAATGTAGCTAAAAGATGAAAAATGCTAGTTAAAACTAAAAAAGCAAAACGTTTCTTAAGAGCTAATTATAGCAAAAGTTTAGCTAATGACTCAAAGAAACAACATGATAACAGAAACTTAAAATTAAATAGTAGCTAAAAGCTACAACTAAACTATTTTAATGTTACCATAGATTATTATGTATTTTCCAGGCACACAGTTCAATTCTATACTACAATCAAGTAACAATGTTAACTTCAGTTGTTATGAAAATGGTGTTTTTATCAAAAATTATTTTGACTATCTCTTTAAGGACCTCCTACCGTTTCCCACACTCCCACTTCAGCCCATTTTCAAACATGCATGAATGAGTCAAAGCAACACACTGCATAGTTTTCGAAGAGGGAATGACATTATAACATGATGTTAAGCTAAAAAAATATATGTTGCATACCCCCCCCCCCCCACACACACACACACACACACACACACACCCCCACACACACACACACACACACACGCCCCTTAAAGCAATAGGTCCAGGCCATTCAAGCCGTGTCGTGAGAGCTGCTCTCACCTTCCTGAGAGGAAGAGTCACTGTCCTGTGATCATTCCTAAGACAACAGCTGTGTTCACACGATTATATTTTGACTCTGAAGCTGAGAAAATAAAATTTGAGCTTCTTGTTCATCATGTGAGTTGAGAGGAAAATAGTAGTTTGTGTGTCCTCAACAAACTCCCTCTGCTTTTGTTGTTTTTATACTTTATTGTTGCACTTTATACAAATGGGTTTTAATTTTTTTTTTCTTGCCATGACTTTTGCATATTTCAAGTCTTAATGTAGAAATTGAACACTTCCTCTTCCTCTTCATTGCTCTGCTACGTTTAGTATCCAGCTAATGGCTTCAAAGTGAGCGCACCCCTCAGCCAATCAGATGTCTCCAACGAAAACATCACTCAGGTACGTTCATCTCATGTCAACATTTTCCGCCATGTTCTTAAAGTTGATTATTTTGCATAATAAATTAACTTATACATCAGCTTCAACAGCGACTAGTTTTGAATGCTCAACTTTTTATTTTAAAATGAAAGAATTCTTTTTTGGTAATGGAGGCAGCRTTTTTCTCACGCAGCTATAATGGGGCTTATTACATCACTCAGCTGAAACAMGAATGTAATAGATTTCCCATGAGTTATCTAGACTCAGCACTTCATTTTGCTGTAACACCACACCTTTATCTGCCAGAGAAGTGGTGTTGAAGCAGGGCGGGTTTGGGTGTGTGTGGGTGTCCATATCAGGTGCCCTGTTTGTGTTGTACTCAGGTAAGCCTGGTTCGGTTTACACGGCCCCCCTTCCTGCGTGGTGTCACATTTTACAGCTATGTAAAGTGCCATTATTCTTCCCACTTAAGTACAACAGTTTAGAAAAAGAAGATTATGTTTGAACAGCGAAAATCTTCCTGCCAAGGTATTTTTATTACCCAAGGCTGGACTTATTCCCTGCTTGTTAACTCCTGCCTTTGTTTGTGGGGTTAAGTTTAATTAAGCTCGTTGTGTTCCTGCTCTCACAGCTCGAAGACAACCAGGAGGAGAGCACGAGGCTCAGGGAGGCCACCCGGCGTCTCTACGCGCAGCTGAAGGAGATGGAGAAGCGGCATCAGGAGGAACGGGACAGACTGGAGGTCGGTTTCAGGAGATGAGTATTATGACGTTTTACCCGCCTGCAGTCGTGACTCACCCCTCTGCTGATCTCATGTTGCTTTAATCGCCGTCTAACATTGTTATCTTTGGATGTAATCACTCATCCTTTCATGATCCACCTTTTGGGTCTTTGAAAAGCATCTGTTGGGACAAGTCCAACATTTGTCTTGGGATCATCTGTTCCCTCTGTATTGTGTTAGCAGGACCAACAAAATCAATGAGATACAACAGATAAAAACATGACACCACTGATTCTAAAGCCTGACTCGGCTTGATTTATTTTATTTATTTAATACTGTAAAAAATATATGTTCTGCAAAAATGCAATGATGTGAAATGAACTTTRCTGAGGAAGCTAAAAAAAGTAAACTAATAAATAAAAGCAGAAACAAGGTAAAAGGAAACAGTAGCTAAAAGAAGAAAAATCCAAGTCAAACACAGCAAAAATTTAGCTAATATAATAGGGTAGCAAAATGCCAAACTAAAAAAAGGCAAAAATAATAACCAAAAGCTAAAAATATCAAATAGTAGCTAAAAGCTAAATCTAACTAARCAGTAGCAAAATATTAGTTGAAAGAAGAAAATCGCTAGTTAAATCTAAAAACAGCAAAAGTTTAGGTGATATGTAATGGTAGCAAAAGGCTGAAGACTAAATAAAACAAAACAATAACCAAAAGCTAAAAATATCAAATAGTAGCTAAAAGCTAAATCTAACAAAAAATAGCTAAAAGTAGAAAAACAGTAGCTCAAAGAAGAAAATACTAACTAAAAAACAAATAAAAAAGCAACGGTAATTTACTAGATGTTGTAGCAAAAGGCTAGCTAAAGACTAAGAGAAGCAAAATAAAACGCAAAAGCTAAAAGTAGCAAATAGCTAAAAACTAAAACTAACTAATCAATAGCTATTAGCTAAATGTACAAAAACGTTACTAAAAGTAGGTAAATAGTAGCTAAAAGCTAAAACTAACAAAAAAGTAGCTAAAAGTAGAAAAACAGTAGCTCAAAGAAAAAAACACTAACTAAAGAAACAAATAAAAAAGAAACGGTAATTTACTAGATGATGTAGCAAAAGGCTAGCTAAGGACTAAAAGAAGCAAAATAAAACTCAAAAGCTAAAATTAGCAAATAGTAGCTAAAAACTAAAACTAACTAAGCAGTAGCTATTAGCTAAATGTAACAAAACAGTTACTAAATGTAGGTAAATAGTAGCTAGAAGGAAGAAAGGCAGCCATTAAAGATGGGACCATGGACGTCTGGGAGTCTGCTGAGGTTGTTTCTGGCTACAGTCTGAAATGCATTCAGGATGTCAGCGTCATAAAAATCACCAGAGTTTGAGCCAACCAGAAACCATAAATGACCTCTGAGGCCAGAGCCCTGCTGAACACAAGGAACTCAGCTTTAAGCACCAAGATGTGTTTCCACATGAAGTCAAACTTCTCTCTGTGGTTCTTCCTGCAGGCCGAGTCAAAGGAATATCGCCTCCGCCTCGCTGAGCAGTCAGAGCGACTGCAGGCAGCGGAGCGGCAGGCAGCGGAGAAAAGTGAACAGGTGGAGGAGCTGCAGAGGCTGCTGGGAAACATGGTGATTGAGAATGGCCTTCTGAAAGACAAGATGGCGGCGGGGGAGGCGGAGATGCTGCAGATAAAAGCAAACAGAGAAGAAGGGACAGAAAGTGAGACGAGGTGAGACTGAATTCTGTCTTCAGAATATTTTCAGGTTTTTCTCAAGGAGTGTGTTGTTTTGTGCTTGAATAAATAAAATCTGTCGTCTCATGTGATTACAGATGTGCAGAACTTGAGAAGGAGGTGGCTGCCCTGAAGGAGAAGATTCACCACCTTGACGACATGCTGAAGAGTCAGCAGAGGAAGATCCGCCTCATGATTGAGCAGGTATTTACGCACAGAAAAAGGTTTCCCTCTCGTGGAAACGAACACACAGGAAGCCGACAATGAGGAGTCCAGAAGTTCCTGTGATGCTGCAGCTGCTGGAATTAGAAAAGACATGTTTCCTGAGCATCTTCTTTCTTTTTGTTACACAGCTGCAGAACTCACGGATAGTCCTCCAAGAGAGGGATCGAGTCATCGGAGACCTGAAGGAACGAGTGGCTTTCCTGGACGCTGAGGTCAGCATCCTCACATTTGTGTTTTCATTAACAATACGTTGTTATTATTATTATTTTTAAATCATACCAAAGACTCTAAGGGCAAACCTTTTTCATGTTATTTGTGATTTTAGTCATTAAAACAAAATTCCAGGTTTTAAATTTCAGGTTTATTCTCATATTTCCATAACTTACTAATAATTTATTTTAATTCCCATCAAAAATTTTCCCACAATTTTACAACCCTAATAACACTAGTAATAATAAAGAGTAAATAAAAAAGTTCAAAATGAATTGTTTAATGTTGTTATATAGTCATAAACCCCTCTATCAAACTGGAACGAACCAGTCTGGGAGCTGGAGGGGGGCGGGGCGTGAAGCACCTCATTTTGGTTTAGACAGCCTCAAAACAAGTTGATCTGAGACATACCTCGGAAAAGAGGCTTGTGGAGTTAAAATGAGGAATTCAGACCAAAGTATTGCAGTTCCACTTTATATAGTCCCCAACTGAATGATTTAAATGTGAAAAAGAAGGATTTAAAAGCAAATGAATGAACAAATAAGCTTTGACCTAATTATCAAATATACTGTAGAACACAGGTTTTTGTTAGTAGTCAATAGACAAATGAACAATAGCACAGTTTGCGATTCTCTTTCACAGTAAATGTCTTTAATTTCTTTCAGAATAAGGAAATGCGAGACCACATGGAGTACTTGCTAGCAGGTCAGGACCCCCCACCCTTGTCCAGCCTAAACAAGCCAGAGGTTGTTTACAGGTGAGGAGTGGTTTTTACGAATGTGATCAAGCTAAGAAATCAAAATCAAGAATCAAATATCAACATTTTATATTTCTGTATGTTTGTGCAGCAAACCGCTGACACCGACCTCACCGACCAACAAAGTCCTTCCGTTCATCAAAGTGATCGAGATCAAGTCCTGATGGGATCAACGTTCGAAACAACCAGAAAACTATTGTGTAAATATGTATTTATCCACCTGCTGGTATAGAAACAGTGGACCTCGGCGATTAAAAACAAACCTCATATTTTCCTTCACTGTTCACCTCCTTACCTATGTGTGTACCTGTGTTGTATACAAGATCTTTGTGTCGAAAACAAAACAATAAAACAGCACAAGAACTTGTATAAACGAAGCAAAATAACTCATTTGCAATGCAAAGATTGTTCTGAATTTCTTGGCTGTTTCACAAAGACACAGGTCTGTGCAGTTTGTTCTTTTGTCAACAAGCCTTCAGGATACAGTAGCACAGTTCACTGAAGCTTCACGTTAACCTCAAGTTGCCTCTTGTACAGAAAAATCATTTTCAATCACGGTAATGAGCTGTTTTTCATCACCGAGTGAAAGACAAGCTGTTAGGAAGCTGTCATCATTAAAGTGGGTTAAAAGTAAAAATAATCGTGTTCTGAAGGTCTTCAGCTCCTCCTCCTCCCACAAAGTTCCTTCAGGGGTCACGGTTGAATTCCTGTGTTTTGCACCTCATTGCAGGCTTGTCATTATGTCCCTGTGTAAAAACTTGATTTTCTTTTAAAGTTGATGCTTTTTTTGTGGATCAGTGCAGAAAAAACATCCATATTTAATAATAACATTTTGACTTATCCTAGATTATGCTAAAAACAAGATTTGAGGCTTTTTTTTTTGTTATCTATATTTAGTCCAGACCTGATTGTGCAAAAATGATACATATTTAATTACCGTGCTTTTATTTAACTAATCTCATTTTATATTGTTTGTATAAACTTTGTGGCTTTTTTTCTGTACAAATTTCTGTTTTACTGTGAACTACAGCTAGATACACTCAAGTCTTTATTGTAGATTTTATTTAAATAATAAAAAATTTAATAATCTGATTCATTACAAGTTTGTGTGTTGCTGCATTTTACGCTAAACTATACTGCCACCTGGTGGATGTATGAAGTATGGACAGGAATTGGGGCCACGGTAAAATAAAAAATGTATGTAAAACACAGCTTTTCCTGAAGATGTTAATGAATATTGTGCGACACTCTGCATATAATAATCATAACTGAACTCAGCTAACACGAGTTGTTTTGTATGCGCAGCCTAATACATTTAAATCAATTT